GGGAAAGGGCTAGAAATAATCCCCAGGTGATTGTAATGTGTCCCCAGGCATGAGGATCACTACTGTGTTCTCGCCAGTTGCCAGGGAACAGTCCGTGAATTCCTGTTACTTTACCAGCTGGAGTAGTTTGACACCCTCCGCCCGCCCACCCACCCACCACCCCTTCTTTTTAGACCATGCATTTCCTCAGACTGCAGCCAGGTAGAAAAAGGTGTCCTCCTCTGTGTGGACAATATATGCAGATCTTTAAAAAGTGGTTTATACCACGTATATTTTGCTTTTATCACCTCACTTCCTCTTGGGCGTAGAAGACCCATTACTTCATTATTCAAAGCCTATGTAATACTTCCTTATTAAGCATATAGCACAATTCACATAACCACTTTCCTGATGATGTTATATGAGTTTCTTCTCATACTTTGCTACTGTTCGTTATACCACAATTAACTTTCATATCCACTTTTATCCTTTAAATCTTGTGTCAAGTATTTCCAGAGTTTAATCACCAAAGAATACATACACATCAGATCTGGACAGATATAGCTCAGTGGTGTGGTGTTTGCTCAGCATGCAAGCCCTAGATTTGATTCCCGGGGGGTGGGGAGAAAAGAAAAGAAAAGAGAAAAAGGGAGAGAGGGAGGCAGAGAGGGAGAGAAATTGGACAGGTTTTGCAAAAAACCATTTTCCATGTGGATGATGTGTGAGTATATTGTCCCACCAACAATTTGATAAAACATCTCTTGCTGCAGATTCTTGTCTTTTTTGTTTTTGTTTTTGGTACCAGGGATTGAATTCAGGACCTTGTGCTTGTGAGGAAGGTGGCGGAACCACTGAGCAAATCCCTGTCCCTCTTTCTCCTGATTCTTATCCACATCAAATATTTAAATCTTTTTGCTATTTGATAATTTGATAGAGAAAATGGTGTTGCATCAATTTACATTTCTCTGATTTCTAGTGAAGTTGGATATCTTCACATTTTTTGTTAGTATTTTGTATTTTATTAGTAGTTTGAAGTACCTAATTGATAAATGTTGCATGCTGTTTAGAAAATGCAGTATAATTCCCCCCAATTTTTAAGAGCTCTTCCCCTTCCCACCTTATAACAGTCCAGTAATAGTCAATATTATTTCTAAGAACCTAGAGAAACAGAGTATGCATAATTGAAAATTTCAGAAAAATCACAATGCAATGTATATTAGGATTTAAAATGTGTTTTTATAAAGCTCACAGATTCAAGAGTAGGCATATCTGATTCACATCCTAATTTTGCCTGAGAATATCTGACTCTAGGGATTTTGCTTTTTTCCCTGAGCCCTGGTTTTCCTAACTGTTGAATGGGAAAAATAACTTGCTTAGCCTGGTTGTGATAACTGTATAAGGTAATGTGTTTAAACGGTGAAGTGTGGGGCCTAGCACATAGTTGACTACCCCATAAATGGTTGCTATTTTTATAATGTTGTAACAATGGAAATTGGAGTTTAATATTAATTGAATTAGGAATCCACATTGTAGTTTCTTGGTCCTGTGCCTTATTCTTATTTCCATGACCACTGAACTTAGATCTCCTTCCCTCTTGATTGAGCAGGCTTTTGTCCTCTTCGAGGCTGTGGTTTGAATTCTGAGTCTGTAAATCAGGAAGTTGGCAAGGTGGAGGTAGTCTCACCTATGACTGAGCAGTGTGGGCCAAGATCTGAGTGAACCCAGTACTGGAGAAGGTGGTCACTTTCCCCAGATTAATTTCTGCATCATTAATCCACGATCAATAGCTGACCTTGGTAACAAGTGAAATACTTTTTGGTTGTGAATAATAGATCCAAGGAACCCTAAATAATGAGGAAAACTCACTATCTTCAGTCACAAGAACCTGGAGTTACAGCAGTTTTCAGCCGGGCTCATTCATCCTCCAGAACCCAGTTCCAGACTACTTTCTAGACTACGTCTGCAGCTAATTGCTTTTAGTATTGTCTGCCCTCATTCCCAAGGAGGCTTCAGCCAAAAAACAGCATCTAGAGTCAAAGAAGACGTGATTCTCCTTGTGTCTTCTATAGAGATTAAAGCGATCTTTCTTATGAGTCCTCCAGCAGATTTTGTGCAACATCAAATCAGGCCAAATTGGATCATCTCACTTCTCATGCCGAGAAAAATCAGTAACAGGACAGTGAAGTGACAATGCTTGATTTAGGGTACCCTGGGGTCAGAGTGCCACTTACCTTCAGAGCACGTGGCTGCCCAACAGTTGGAAAAAACTGTTAGCCAAGAAGGGAGGAAATGTTGACTGCACAGATGATCAGCAAGGTCTGGCACTCTCATGGATTTGACTGGATGTGTAAGATGTATTTTTAAGATTCAATTCTAAATAATATGCAAAGCCTTCATTTAATTATGTGAAAGCACCAGTTTTGAGGTTTGCCACCTGGAAGCAGCATTGCAAAGGTAGAGAAGAACATATTTCCTATCACTTTTGGAACTAGAAGTATGACTTATGGGTGAAAAACTGAGCTTTAAAAGGATTGCCCTTAGCAGTGCACACAGAGTTAACTCCCAAACTCTTGGCATGGAGTGGGCTTTGTGTGGTGCCATCCCAGCTCTTAGGAGAGGCACTGCTGGACAGGTGGGACACAGCACAGGGAGAGGGAGCCACAGGGCACCACTCATAGTGTTATATCTGTGGCAGATGCCAGCTATCCAGGTCACCCTGCCAGCCTCTCATCTAACGCCCAGCATATAAAGACATGGGGAGGTGGGCATGTGGGGGAGTGCGGTTCCAAAGAGGATGTTCATCCTATAAAGATGCTCCATTCCCTATAATGTGAATGCCCCAAATGATGGCATTCTTCCTGCTTGCTTCTCTATCCCAGCCATTCAAGATGGACTTAATACTGGGAACAGATCTCAAGTCTAACGTGGGCATAGTCTGCTGTAAGGGGCAAAGCTGGAAACACTTAATTACCTAGGCCCCGCATGGGAAGAGTATGAGTGCATTCATGTGACTGAACAACCTAGGTTCACTAGGATGTCAGCCTATGGTTGCATCTTCAGCTCTTTAATGCTTTTGATATTTCCTGGCCTCTGGATCAATTGGGACTGACTTTCTGGAATGAAGAAGATCTCTACATGCCTGGTTCTACTGTAGCCTTAGTCAGAAACTGAGTTTGCGGAACAGACAAAACCAGGTTGAGCACTAGGGCACAGTTATCCGGGGTGAGACCACTGGGGGGAGGCAGCTTGGAATATGGGGAGTAGGGGGAGTGAGGGACAGGTGAGGACATGTGCTGAGGGAGCCACCTAGATCCATATCCAGTACCTGGCTAATTGCATCCGAGTCTCTGGGAGAGGGCAGAGCAAGGTTGAATCTCCTAATTCCAAGTTCTCAAAATTAATTACCATGAGAATTTTGTTCAGAATAGCACTTTGGAGAATGCCATCAAGGAAATACTTGCCTATGCTCTCACCCCAGATGCCCTGCAGCTTGGGATGCAAATAGACCAGCACACAGGTCTCTCTGCTGTTCTGTTACTTGATACCACAGGTTGAAAAGAGCTCTAAGGCTAGTGATCTCCCCCACAGCCTTCTTTGGCATCTCGTGGCTTTGGATGTCTGATGGTCACAGTCCTAATAATCAGTACAATATTAAAAGCTCTTTTAATTGTATTGTAATACCTTGAGAAATGGATGAATTGAACAGAACATTAACATTACCTGTTAATTCATCCTAAAACTGCTTTTAGAAAGCAGTTGGAAGAAATCCATTTATTTGCATGTACCATGAGTTGGAAAGACTTCAGAATCTGGGTTTGCAACCAGCCATCCCACATCCCAGCTCTAGAGCATCACAATTCCTCCCTGATCTCTGGTTCTTCATTGGTAAAATGGGAAGAACACCTCAGAGCATGTGTGCTAATAACTCTCTTCCCCTAGGCAAGCCAAGAGAAATGGGCGAGGGAGGGTTAGATAAAACTCCCATCAATTATTCTGCAAATGGTACATTGTCTGAAAAATTTGGGGCCCACCTGACCTTTCCCTGTCTACAGACCTCACACCCACAAAAGAAGGACTTTTATGTTTGAAGCCAGTCAAGATGGGCTTGTCCCAACTTTCTTTGCTTCACCGTACACAGCAAGTTCAGTCCCATCATCTAAGTGAAATCTCTTGGCTAGAGGTAGGGGATAATCTTCCTACTTTAACATCTGCCTCCATGTAGCCTGGCTCTGTCCTTCAGTAGCTTCGTACCTTCAGGCAAGAGCTTTACCCTCTCCACCTGGCTCCTCATCTGCAAATTAAAACAGTGTAGCGTAGAATCCCTGTGATATGTAAAGTAACTAAGACAGAGTGCACAGCATTTACACACCGTGTAGAACACAGAAATCACTCCATAAGTACTAACAATTACTCTGTGGGGGCTACTGAAAGATGCAGACTTGGCAATTAGTTTGTCAGTCTAATCTGGTTACAGGTTGGTGACCAATCTATATTGATAAAAGTTGAGCAAACTTCATATGAAAATCGGAAATCTCAAATGTTCCAAAATCCAAAACTTTTTGTGTATCTGCATGATGCTATAAATGGAAGATTCCATACCTGACCTCATGTGACCGGTCAAAATGCAGGTACAGTAAAATATTACAGATAATAATTTTTAAAAAGTAATAAAGCTATACTTATTTAGAAAATACTGTAATATCTCCCCTCATTCTTTAAACTGGCAATTTATTAAATGTATCGCGTTATATGGTAAGCTGCTTGTTACCTTGATAACCAACGGGGGTCTCAGTTAGGCTCTTCCCCTCCGTGTTCTACCCACTGCCCCTGCCCTATTACAGTTACAGAGTGGCTACAGTGACCAGCAAGTGGCAACTGATTCTCTAACATCTCCCAGTCATGAGCCCCAGGATCCAGCTCCTCGGAGCTACTTCCTTACTGCTTGGAGGTAAAGGAAGGCTATAGCGCAGGCCACATGCTTGAGGTCTCCTTCACTGAACTTGCCCTTGTCTCTTCCGCAGGCTGTAAAGCGGTTCTTGAAACAAGAGTGCAAGTGTCATGGAGTAAGTGGCTCATGTACTCTGCGGACGTGTTGGCTGGCCATGGCCGACTTCAGAAAAACGGGTGATTATCTCTGGAGGAAGTACAATGGGGCCATCCAGGTTGTCATGAACCAGGATGGCACTGGTTTCACGGTGGCTAATAAGAGGTTTAAGAAACCAACGAAAAATGACCTTGTGTATTTTGAGAATTCTCCAGACTACTGTATCAGGGACCGAGAGGCAGGTAAGTTAAAAAACAAACAAACAAACAAACACAACTTCTTTCAATGATCAGTACTCCACAATTTAAATGAAGTTCTCTATTTTCAGCCTGCTGTTTCTATACGAACTGCCTGCTGCCTCAGGTTGCGAGGTACCGCCCTTTAAAATTCCTACTGAAACTACACAGAATACCCTACTGAGAATCTGGAGAAGCAGGTTGATAATGTGCAGATTCTGGAGAAGTAGAAACCCACCAAGAATGTGCATGGCAAAAAGTCAGAATATGCAGATTAGCAAGATTCTTCAGCCTGGGCAGAATTCTAGGCAGTGACTAATGTGCACTATGTGTACATCTTTGGTGGGGGATCCTGAAGCTGAGAGCAGGGTAGCTTTGGATGGCATCTTCCCTTTTACAAATCCCCCTTCTGTGACTATAGAAAGGGGCATCGGAGCTTTAAATTTAGCCTCCTCTGCTGTCTACCCTATTTCACATTCCCTTGCTCTTTGCAATATGCTTTGAAGTTGCCAAATACTCAAAAGCAAGGATTTATCCCACTCTCTTGGCCCCAGGTGGGCAGTGTATAAGGATTGTGTAAGAGGCACCTCATTTGTTAGGGCCACACCCTTTCCTCCCAGATGGCACCTTCTCCATCTTGAACTCACTCAAGCCACCTCCTCAGCTCAGCCCAGCAGCTGTTCCCACCTACCTGTCTGATTGCATACATGTGCTTTATCACCCCACCTCATCCACTCTGAACTTCAGGCTTGGCTCTTTTTTGCAGAGGTTCTAGTGCAAAATAAGAACGAGTTAAATAAGTCTAAGTCAGTGGGATGTAACTGAAGCCAAAAGCTTACTTTGGCTCAAGCCAATTTCTTGGTAGAAAGCAAGGGAATTAACTATCAGAAAAAAAAATTGTTTTTCTCTAATTTAAATTTGGAGTTTGTCTTTCATTCCAAAATTGCTGCAAAGGAACCAGAGAAACAGTGCAGATAGCAACCAGATCCTAATGTTAGATTGACCAGGAAGCAAAATAACCAGCAATATCACAAGAAAGCCCCAATTTCTTTCTTGAGTGCTTGAATTTCCTTTAGGTTCGATGAGCCAGCTCTCTGCAGCACAGGAGCAGGTTTCTACATGCAGCCAGTGCATTAATGACTGCTGAACACAAGGACCAGCAGCGGAGCTCCACTGCATTCCTGAAGTGCTTTGGGACTGCTAGCGAGTCATCCTCCTGTTCACTCAAAGTTTTGACCAAATCTCTATGAAATCTGTGCTTTGCTATAAAATTACCCCAGGGATTTGGCTTTAACTAAGTATTTAATCTCAGACTTCTGAAACAGGGCATGAAGATGATATGATTGTGATCATTTTTGGTCCTGTAAATTAATTACGGTGTGCTGAATACCGGGCTGAGATCATTGCCTACATGGTCTTGTTGAATCCATGGAGCAGCCCTATGACATCCATGCATTGCAAGTAATTACTGGAACAATAAACAATCATAAGTGGTAAAAAGAGAGATATTCGTAGAGGATCAACACCAACCAAGAACAAAATTCACAGTTTAGTTCTGCAGTCAAATAAGCAGCCATAGCTATCATGATGACCACTGGAAAAGAAAAGTGAATGACCTCGTGGGTAGGAGGGGTCAGGCACCTGGCCTCATGGCATGGGCCTGCGCTTTGATTCTGAAACTACACATCCCCCATCCCAGACATGGCGGGAGAAAAGACCTTGTGAAGCAAGAACCTAATGTTGAATATCAGAGAACCTGATGCCCAGCACATCTTTCTGGTCCTTTGGAGAAGCAACAGTCATAGCCAATGAATTTTACTGCCTCATGGATCATCAGTAAAATAAAGACCACACTTTTTATTTTTCCCGCAGAGGAATTCTGAATCTAGTTCACTCTTCAAGTTACTAAATGATTCTTGAACACTGCCCTTTCCAAAATTCTCTGTATAGAACAAAATTCTGTTTCTTGATTGTGAAGTAACTGACAGACCTAAGTACCTACCACATGCCAGGGCTCATTCTACATTCTCTTATTAATTCTCACCATCTGGGTGTGTATATTGTTATCCCATTATATAAGAGAAGACTGAAGCTCAGAGAGGACACAGATTCTGCCCAGGGACTTGCAGTTGCTAAGAGACAGAGCAGGGACTGTCTGTCTGTCCTCTCAACCATTTCCCTCTGTCTCCTTTTACTCTGTACAGACCTCAAGTCACAAAGTTGTAGGGACTGCCTTTCTGAGGAAACCTAGGTATTTTACTCTTTTCATCTATTTCTTTCTTAGACCGTGTTAGCTTATAGGACTTAAGAAGATGTGAATTTTCTAGTTTTTGTTTGGTCTTGATTAACTTGGAATCTGTTCCTTTTAAAGTAGTTAGTTCGAATACATTGGATCAGATTTCTGGTAAGATTCCTAGACTATTTGTAAATTATCTAAACGTTATTTAGTGTCCTTTTTAGGAAAGGCTAAGTGCCAAGGTTATCCAGGCAAAACTTGCAATTTTTTAAAAAATTCTGTTGACCCTAGATAACGATTTTAGGATTTTAACGATTTTTAGATAATGATATGATTCAGGACATTTGATGGTCATGTAGGCAGAGGTTCAGCTTGTTAAAAGAATATTTTTCTCATCGCTTCTATTCACAGCCATGTACAAGTAGCCACAGGTATGAGATGCAGCTGCTCTCTGAGAAAGCCTGCTTCGGGCTCCTACTCCTACTGAGGGTCTTGCCTTTGGTTGTATACCTAATGGCCTTTTAAAGATGAGGCTTCCCTGCTGGGTAAACATCTGTGGCATGTGCTGTAGCAGCCTGGTTAAAAGTCACAGCAGGTCTTCATTTTGAAATCATGGAGTACCCTCTAGCTTGTCTGTGGAAGCCAAGAGAGGTAGCAGAGAATTCTAAGGCTGCAAGAAGGGAGGCTTCCTACCTCTAACTCACAATGAATGTGAGAGCCTCCTTCTCTGTGAGATAAAGGCATTGGGTCAGTGCTGAACCACACAACTAAGTGAGCACACACTGAGGGACTCTGTCCCCTGCACTAAAGTCATGGTGTATTAGAAAGGATGTGTTTTCTGGTGAATGGACATTACGCTTGTTCAAAACACATGAAGAGTACCCAGGCTCCAAAACAGGTCAAAAGCTTTCAGTAAAACTTACACCAAGTAACATACAATTGTTTTCATTTTCTCTATTAAAAGTAGCATTAACCTTTCCCCTTGTTTCACCTGATACTACCCAGGTAGCTTTGTTGTGGTCACTGTTTTGTTTTCAGTCATTGCTTTAGTTTTTAAGTTATACGCACTGAACATTCAAGTTATTGGGTACCTTGTACTTGCCAGCACCAGCAAAGCAATAATGACGAGCAGTTAGGTCATCAGTATTCGGAACTAATTAGCTTTACTCTTGCTAGGTGGCAGCTGTTTTCTGTTCAGAGTACCTCATGGACGGAAGTGAGTCATCACATTTGTGAATTAGGTTTGCATAGTGGATACTATTTTCCAAAGTAAGGAGCCCCTCAAAGACCTATTGAATCAGAAAGCTCAGGGAATGGTTTCAAACTTAAGCACGTCTAAATTTCAAAAATCACTGGGATCATGATCCCTGGTTGCCTCTGTTAGGGAAAAAGGAATCCAGGGAGACTTTCTTTTTTCTTGGAGTACCCAGTCTCTCATCAAGGGAAAAACTTTTCTTTATTTGAAAAGCTCCAAAAAACTGCCACAAAAAATACCCCCTGTCCTGGTGTGCCTGGTGTCAGAGGGCTGATCTTTCATTTCTAAGCTTTCTACCTCTTTGACTGCAAGTAACTCATTTAAATGAATTCAGCCGGCAAAGCTTTCACCGGCATTCCCTTAACAGGTTACCAGGTAAGACTTCCAGTAAAGTTCTAAAATAATAGCAAGACTAGTAAAGTGGAGACCTGGGGTGCTTCTGATCAGACAGAACCCTCTGGGGAAGGAGCTGGGAGCACAGGTGTGGTCCTGCTCAGAGTCAGGCCTGGGCTTCAGATTTTATGTGACTGTCCCCTAACATGTCATGGCAGTCTCCTTCATTCCAGAGCAAGAAAGTGAAGCTCTGAAAAGTTACTTCATTTGCCAAAAAGTGCATGTCCTGTGAATGGTAAACTAAACATGATAAATAAGTAAAAATCCAGACAAAAATCTATACCACGTACCTGCAGAAACATCGGTGGTGTTGGGGGTAGGGGTTAGGTCCTTAGTAATAATGTGCAGCCGGAGGATGTGGAACTTTAGTGGGTTCAGGTGCCCACGAAGTGGGGAGGTCCAAAGTGATCAGAATTAAGCACCCATATTGAGTTCTGGTTCCCCTGAAGTCCTTCAATTGTAAGCCCTTCAAGCTTTTAAGAGTGTTAGTATCTTTTATCATCCCTAAGAAATGATAAAAACAAAACATACTAAAGAAGATATTACTACAGCAACAGCAGGAAGACATTTTCTCTGTATTCAGTTGAAGGTGGGTGTTCTGATGGTCAGCTATAAATACTGCTTTGTGCAGCTCAGATTTGAGGAGTAGCCACAGCCATGTGATGTTGTGCATGTGACATTTTACAGGCCGAGTTGTAGACTAGATCTTGGAAGCTGGGCTTTCTGGGATGAGTGTTCTGGTGACTCTGTAGTTATCTACTCTGGTTACTGCACAGGCATCTGTAAATCAAAGAAGCCCTTCACTTAGAGATAGGTGCCTCTCTAACTAAGGAATGCCGCTGTCCTCTCCGGAGAAAGCGCCTGCACCCAATCACAGGCCACTTTCACTGCTTATGATGTCAAACCCTGACCTGGGCCAGAGGTCACCCTGAGTTCTCTCCAACCGTAGAAAACAAGCACCACCACCCACATCTCTTTTCCAGTCAAGTTCAAAAACGAATGGAGTTTTACGGCTGTACCACTGGTTGCTCACCGAAAACCTGGTACCTGGCTGACAGGTGCAGGCTGGGAATGGTGTAAGCTCGAAGATATCACCTTTTTTACTACATAAATTATATGTGGCAAACAGAACTCAGAGTTCATAGAAAACCAGACCCAATCCTGGTGTTCAAATATTGGTGCTTTAGACCTGCCCTGTGGCAGAAACTCATACCAGTTGGCTGTGTCCAATGCGTTGATTAAAACTTAGGAAAGAAACTGTCAGCCAATTGCGGATGTGGGGTTACCACAAGGGCCTAATATGTGCAATTCAGAGCCTACATCTTAGGTCCCTCCTTTGTTCACTGAATAAGTATTGAAATTCATAAGCATGGGAATAGGGACCGGGGATTTAGCTCAGTGGTTTCACTGCCTGCCTCCTAAGTGTAAGGTCCCAAATTCAATCCCTGGTACCAACATAAATAAACAAATAAGCCTGGGAATACAAAAATGAGAGGAGCAGAAATATTCCTTGGCCTCAAGGCATAAGTGACCTCAGGAGCCAGGTCATAAGTCTGTGTGATAGGGTCAGAAAAGGGGAGTTTCGTAGGTTTTGGTCAGTGCTCCATTAATTAGTGCAAAGTCTTTCCTTACATTTGTCATTTTGACATAGTACACAATAAGTTGTTTATCTCCTTGTGCTTTGAGACATATAGAAATTAATGAACTGATACCTAAAAGGTGGTAAGATGCTTAGACAAGAAGAAAATTGTGTGAAAATTTGTTTTGGTGAGGCTTATGTCACCACTTTCATAAGTAATTATTGATTATGTTGTATAAATAATACTAATTACAACCCAGTCAATCCTCTTTTCAAACTCAAGTGGCATATAATAGAATTAGCCTTTCCCTACACAGAACACTGTTTTCTTTCGCCGTCCTGATTTGCCTCCAGTCCCAGTTGTTGGCCTCTTTAAATTTCCGTGGCTAGTTTCTGTTCTACCTCTGTTATGGACTGCTCAGAATTCACCATCCTTTCTCCTCCTTTACTCTCTTCTTGCTTTGGTTTTCTCTGCTCCTGTGCCTTTGAAGGTTATCCCTGTCTTCAGCTGTGTCCTCCAGCCTCATCCTGTCTCCAGCTCCCTGCTTACCAGATTCAGTCAGAGTTCTCACATTCATATAAAAAACAAAAACAAAAAACCGCACTCCTGATTCGTCCCACCCTTGAAACTTGCTTTTTCCCCCTTCTCAAAAAACAGCACTCAGTCATTCACTCTGTTGGTCAAGCCAGGAACCTTCAGGTTTTTGGTTCTCTCTCTTCTCGTTACGCAAGTCTTCATCAGGACCTCTTGAAATACATGATGGATCTGTTACCTTCTCTGTCTTCACTGTCACTTCGCGGGCACAAGCAGGATGCATTTCTTTCATTCTTGGCCTGTGCCACAGAGTTCCATCAATTTGCCACCTGACGGCCCCACTGGACTCCACGGAGGATTCCATGACTGCAGGAACTGTCTGTCCTGCCCACTGGCCCTGCAGTACTAGTGTACGAACACTGCTGAATTAAATCGAATAGCAAGTTGTAAACCACATATGTTCATCATGGTAGCTGAGTTCTTAATGTATTTTGGTGCAGCTTTATAGCTTACAGATAGCTTGGCTTCTTTGTAAGGCAACTACTAAGCCTGCCTTCTCATCACCAGTTACCTTATAACACACAACCTATGAAAATTCCTACGTGAGCTTCAATGTTAAATGGAATTTTTCCTCACATTCAAGTGCATTTGTAGAGCATTTATATGGGGCTTCAGATGTTGCTTGCTGGCCATTTTCCTGAGTGAGATAAGAGGTCTCAGATAAATGTGATAGCAGAGTACAGCTACTGCTTTTAGCTGTCACTAGATACTCAGTTATTTCACTCTTCATTTACTTCCATCAGAAGAGACATATAGGAGAGGAACTGCTGGGGCAGTTCATCTGATTTCCTTGTGAATGCAAACAAAAATATTTACATACAATGCTGTTTTATGTTATCGGCACAATATATAAATGTTCTCTTTCAATAGATAAACAGTAGAATTAACTATGTTTTCCACACACCAAAACATACTTTAATTTGAACTGCTTGAAAATCAAAATCAGATTGGATTTGTGAAAAAAAATTGAAAATAATTTAAGAAAAGAA